ACTTGACAGGAAGCCTCAAATAGGAATTTTTATTGTCAATGGCCTCTTTTAAAGTGTTTGGAAATGTTTACCTTTTTCATATTTGCTCCAAGCTTTGGGTATGGAGGCTTGTTAACCTTATTCCAGTCAACAGGAACTTTGATCTTTTCATATAATTGTAGTATTACCAGAGCATCTTGGAGATCACTGAAGAGGAAAACATTGATTAAGCCTAAAGTTTCAAGACTTAAATGCACTCTGACTTTGTCACATCATGAATTAATTACTACTCTTTACAGGCTGTTGCAACTTCAACAACCCTAAAAGAAAAAAATTCAATCAATCAAAAACAACCTGTAGTTTTCAGAACAGAAGAAATGCTCCATGCTTAACATCAGCCAGCTGCTGAGCTACAGCAGGTTTTGCATGGTAATCAGCAATAGATCCAGGGTAAAAAGTTTCTACCTAAAAGCCAAAGTTTGCCAGCTCTTTCCACTGGCTACAGTGACCCAGAGTATCTTGCTTCTTCACTATGTTGTCTTTGGTGAAGCCCAAGAAAAGGAGGCAGGGAGTTTAGTTCCAGTTGCTCTAATGCAAATGCTTGAGCAAATCTGAATGGATTGGGATCTCAGGGTACCAATTTACCCAAGGCAGCAGAAAATGAACTGTCTCCAGCCCTTAAAGCCAACTGCTGGTGTGGCAAGTGCTGGCTCTGAAATCCCTGAGCTAGGGACTGCAGGGAGAGGTGCAGTGAGCATCTCCCACTCCCTACCATTGTTCTTCTTCAAGATTTTTGCTCAGCACAGTGGGCAGGAGGACACATCTTTAGTCTGATGGAGTTGGTTTCTCTCAAGAGATGAACACTTACCCATAGAGGTGATTTACATGGGGGTTCACACCAAGGGAGTTCATCCAGTTGCGGAAGGTCCGTTCCTCACGTGTCTCTCCTAGATAAAACACATTAATGGAACTTTTGCAAGCTCAAAGCTGTGCAGAGTTTTCCACCTTGATAAGCAGAGAGCTTTGGGCAGCACAGCTCAGCAATTAGATTTTTCAAGCAGAAAAAGGGTATTTCTTCTACTGTAATTTTTTAAAAGGCTGGATCTAGCTTTGGATATCAGTTTGATTCCTCCAGGCCTCAGAAGGGCATTGCCCTTTGCACCTTCTGCCAGAAAAAGCAGCAGAAAGGTGTTTTCCAGGAACTGCTGTCTGGGAGCCCTGCAGACAAAGTCCTAATCCCAGTTCTGCCAACAATTAGTGTTCCCATTAACATCTTGCTGCATTATGGAGATGCTCCTGACCACTGCAGGAAACAGCAAAACCAGGTTCCCAGCCTTGACATGGGGACTGATGGGCTGCTGGCAGTGCTCCTACAGGTTCAGGCTCCACATCAGGGTCAGAGCAGCTGAACAGGCTGTCAAGTACCCTTCTCACCTGCTCCAAATGAGTAAACAACCACTGCAGCACTGAAGCCTCAAATCACAGGTGTTACTTTAATGGAGACACCTCCGCTTGGCACAACCCCTTGTGACACAAGTGTTTACATTAGATATTTCCCTCGTGCTAATTTTGTGACTGATGCAGCCATTACCTTCCAGTAGGGTCCAGTCGATGTCCTGGTTTTCAGGCTTGGTGAGTGCTGGGTACTTGTTGAACAGGTTGGCAACGAAGGCCAGGTTGAGTTTGGGGTTGCCACTGACCACGTCGGCCGGCGTGACGAACTGCCGGCAGCCCAGCCGATCCGCCTGCTGCAGCATGTACTCTGCTCGCCGCAGGTCATCCTTCTCCTGCCAGGGATGGACAAGGACAAGAGCTGTCATGGAAAACATCAGGATACAAAGCAGATGGGAAGCTCCTCTGGCTGCTAGCTGGGGCAGGGCTACAACTCCACTCGCCTTCGTTAGGCACCAGTGGCTAATCAAGCCAAGGGGTGAAGCACGCACGCTAATCCCTGCTGCTATGGATGGGATTGTTCTGTTTGCCTTGTGGTTTTTTCCTGGCATGGAGCCTCCCAAGTTTCTATGCTTTCCTACATTTATGTTTTTTGAACTGGGTGGTTCAGAAGCAGAAGACAGCATGCACCCCAGTGAAGGAAACCCACAAATGATTTCTCAATCACACGTTAATTGGCAGGTAGTGATCAGGCCGGCAACAACCACTCATTTAGCACAGATCTGAGGTGAGCACATGCCCACCGACACTTTACACGCTCTAGAAATTAAGATACCAGGTTACCTGGATGTCACAAGGCAATTAGAGGGTAGAGGTGGCTGGTGATTCTATGGCATGAGGATATGACAGTCTAAATACTTACATTGAAACCAGACATGTTAATATCGATCTGAGGCTCTCCTTCTTTCTGCCCTTTAGGTGCAATTTGATTGAGGAGGTGGAAATAAGCTCTGGAATCCTGAAATGGATGATGAAAAAGAAAATTTAGGTTTCCAACACAGCAGTGAATACACCATAACAATCCACTTCAGGCTCATCTTTAACAAGTCACCATGCAAAACTGGTGTATGTACCTTTACTGAATTACCAAAATCTGTAAGCTTAAAAGAGAAGATGATGGCAGAAATCCAGGCAGCAGTAAAAGAAACAGAAAGGGAGAAGGTTAGAAATATTGAAGATAAAAATTATGGGTTTAAACTGTTGGAAAGCTGCTTTGCTGAACACTCATGTGTCACAACCCCTAAAAAGGCAGCCATTCCTCCTGCTATAGCAATAATGAAAATGGCTCAGCAAAGACAACGTGCAGGCAAAAAGCTGATTATAAGAAGCCTGAATGTTTTCTCCTGTGCCTGCCTATTAGCTAGAATAGCTGAAAGGAGAGAGGCCACAAACTAGGGGGAGCAAAATACTGCAGTAATTTTATTTTTATATATATATATATATATATCTCAATTACAAGTCCTTTTAGTCCTCAGCATTAAGAAGTAACTCAGCATACCCTGGCAGCTAATGGGTTGACACTGGACAAGCCAACAGCTATCAGCAAAGCTTTAAGTAATCTTGAAGCTGGAAATAAGAGTAACATGCACACACACACACACAGGGGAGCTCTGGGCTCACCATGCTCCTCAATTACCAATTTTTTTTCCACTTCAACAGTCCTTTAGCTCAGAATCCACTTCAGTCCTCTTTCTCCTTCTCAAAACTGCTGGCCATGTCAATAAGCTCCAGAAACCTCCTGAGAGCAGTGTCCAAAAACCCCACACTGACCCAGAGTCACCACCCTCCATTTCTCACTAGTGCTGAGAGAACAGGGGAGCCCTCTCACATCTGAAAAATACCTGTAAGACTCCCTGCTTTCATTTCTACTCAACCCAGTGTACAGAATGAGGACTCATGTTTCCCTTCCTCTCCCCAGCATGTGATGTGGCTGAAATGCTGTCACCTGCCAAGAGTGTGTGGAAGTCATGCTCTCCAGGGATGCAGTTAAGTATTTCACCCTGTCTAAACAAGCAGCATGCCCTTGAAAAATTATTTCCAACAAAAAAGATGGATTAAGAACATTTGAAAACACATGAGTAATGTCAGTTTCCTACTCAATTACAACATGCAACAACTTAGCAGCAGGATCCCATCAACACTTGAAGGAAGCAACACTGGGTCCAGCCTCATGGCAAGAGAGGACAACACTGCAGTACCTTACAGATACCACCCATAAAACCCCTGTTAAGCACACTTGGTGTATTAAAAGTCCTGTCTGGAGATGAAGGACCTCATTTACACATGCAAATACAGCCCTGGCCAGTTCCCAGCCTTTTCCCAGGCATGTGCAGACCAGAGCAGCTCTTAGTACCTTGATATCCGAGCTGAAGTTATTGATTTTGTGCCAGCCTGCGTTTTCCAAGTGGAAGTTGGCCCATCTTAGGAGCAGCTCTTCTGGGGATAGTTTCATGAGGTCCTCCAGATTTTCACCATCACGAAGTAAGGCAGCCAGTGCTAGGAGAAAAATGCTTGTGAGGGGAAGGAAGGAGTTTTCAAGAGGCAACTGTGCATGCCAAAATTAAGAGCTGCAGCAACATTTCAGGGGGAAAAAGGAGGGACAAAACCAACTAGTGATTAAGTCAAAATAACCTGGCTGTTAGTGGAGTTCTCCCAAGTTGCTTGTTACACAGTAAAGAGTAAGAATTACCTAGAAAACCACATGTAAAAAATATTTTCCATTCTCCTGTATAAAAACTTGTCTGGATTTGACATACAGTCTTTTAAGCTGATGACACTAAGCTAAATGTAAATGTACCTCAAAGAAAAAGTGTTTCCAGTTTCATATGCACTGTTAAAAAAAGCCAGGGAAGCCAAGTCAAGCACCCTTTCAGCTGCCAGTGCTCCCCATGCCATGGATTTTCAATCTAAGCCATTACCACTTCATGATTGGGAAGTTTAAACACTGAAGCCCATCTGTCCACCTGGATGCTCTGACAGCCCATGCAGGAGTAACGGAGCTCTCTGAATGATCTGAAAAGTCTACATTTTGGAGGCTGTTGTGCAGCACCAAGTGAGCACAGGAAGAGAGTGAGAGCTCAGCAGCAGTGACAGTCCAAGAAGGGTTTTATGAAAATTAAGTCCTTGTAAATACATTCCCAGAGAGCTGAAGCCCTCCTCTTCTGCTTGTTTTTTCCTCTTTGAGGAAGATGTGCAGCTGTCTATAATCCTCAAGGAATGCAAGCAGCTTTTGCCACCTCCCAACACTGAAGCACATCAGGGGAGCCTGCCCAGCCCAAGGCATCACAAAGCCAGGCATGGCTTGAGATAAGATGTGTCTTGACTTAGAGAATTGTGTTCAGCCAGTTCTCCAGGGCTGACATGTCACCAGGATGGCATAACCCACTACAAACAGGCTAGAAGAGCACTGAGCTTGGCACACGCCACGATGAACCGAAAGGTGGGGAACCCCCTTTTCAGCAGAGAGGAGGGGAGGGAAGAGGAAGCAATGGGGCTGGAGGTGACAGTGCAAGCAACGTGGTGTTCATGCTTTAGAAGTAATCACTTATAGTTTCATTTACCTTCATTTCTGCTGAGCTCTATGTCAGCGAACAAGCCGATCTTAATAATCTGCCAGAGAAGCCCAAGGACCAGGTGGGGTTTCCCTTCCCTCAAGTCCTCTGCGCCAATATTGACAACATGACACCCGATGGCAGATGCAGAATTCAGTGCCAGGTTCAGGTTCTCCTGCAAACAGCACAGCCAAGTGAGACACTGCCAGGGGAGATGCTGCTTTGTCTTTCATCCAGCACCAGCAGAGCTGAGACTTCCCCTTGTCCTTGCTCCACCAGCAGCAGCTCAGAGGACACACTCCTGACCTCTCCCCTGCTGAAGTTTTAACAGAGCTGTTGTGGCACCAGGCTGAATCAATAAGAACTCCACTAGGCATCAGGATTTAATTTCAGCCTCTAGTATTTAGTTTCAGCCTCTGAGTTAGTTGCATCTAGTGGTGCAACAAGAATAAGGCTGGAGAAGTGTTAAGTTATACATACGTGCACACACGGGCACCCTCACGAAAACAACCTGTCATACTACAAATAATCCACAGGTAGCCAAGAACAATGTTGGTTTAGAACAACAGCTCTGTATAGAATCACCACAGCAATACCAGGTGTGCACAGCATTTCAGCCCTTTCCTCATTAAGTTAGCATTTTTGTCTCTCTGTCAGTCATACACAGCACAAAACTGTCTTTAATAATTAAATGCAAGTCATAAAACTCACTCCTTTCCAGAGTTCCACATTAATGCCTCGAGGGACCCTGCTGTTCTCATTAGTTCTACCTGAAGATGAATTTCAGCAAAAAAAACAAAACACAACAAAACAGAAATGTGTTATACCTGAATTATGAATGGTGTGAGTTTCTTCTTGTTAATTGCTCTTTCATCAATCGTGTCCGGAACAGAAAGATTGATCATTTTGCTGGTAGGAGGAAAAACAAGAACATTTGTACAATATTTAGTATTTAAACTCAACAAAACTCAACACACTGTTGCATACCCACCACAGTACATTTCCTCTTGCCTGTTTGGCTTAGTGCACCATTTAAAAAAAAAATCAAGGTGGTGTAAATCAGAAGTTAATATTTACATTATCAAGAATATATTTGTAATTAATAGCTAAGCCTGAAACCTTAAACATGTTACTGGCCACTACTGATCTCAGCTGCTGGAGCAAAGAGAGCACATGAATTATTCACAGAGCAGTCACTGAACTAGCAAAGACTCATTGCTCTGCTGACATCCACTGCAGATTCTAGTAAGACCACACACTTCCTCCTGTTGTAAATGTGTACTACTGCTGGCAAGAAAAAACTGCCCCAAGAAAAGCACAAACACTGAGAGCTCAGTTGGGAGCACAAGGAATTTTTTCGTCAACAAAAAAATATGGCAAGTTTTCCCTTTATATTACAAACTACTTTCTACTCAGTTCAGTCTCAGCCTGAAGATCTGAATTACTTGATACTGGGGAAAAAAACCCAAACACACAACACAAATATTACAAGAGAAAAGAAACCAACTTAAATGCAATGGGCAGCCCACTAAATGCTTATTGACACAGAGATACTGAAATGTCATGTTGATCCAGCTCTCTGCCATATTAATTCACATACATTTAAAAAACAAACCAAAGACACAAAACCAAAAGGAACACCATACTTAGAAGGCACCTGGTGTTTCACGGCCCTGGATGCCTTCTGTTATCAGTATGTAGCAAAATAAGTTCCTTTAATAACTTAGTGCAGCTATTATCAAAAGCAACAAGAGGATTCCCAGAAAATCCAGGTTGAGTTAATTCATAAAGTCACAAATATTCCCACAGAGGTTACTGTCTGTTTAAATATCCAAGAAAATGGATTGTTTAATACACCTGCCCTCCCCCAAGCTGCCTAGCATCAGGCCAAGTTTGCAACAGGACAACTTCTGCTCCCCCAAGGCACCTTCTCCCTTTCAGCAAATTTAGTCTCAAGCCCTAAAAAACACTGGACAAAAATGCCAGCTTGTGAAGGTGGTGGCATCAAAGCTGAAGCATCACACAATGCCAATGTGGGTAACTAAGCCCCTTTTTATACGTGCAAAACATTTTTCATACACACTAACCAAGGGAAACAGCCTAGAATAGGGTGAAAACTCCTCTAACTACAATTTTGGGGAGTTATTTCAGTGGTTTGGTTTTGGTTTGGTCGTTTTTAATTCAGGAGCCATCATGACTTACCATAGCACAATCCCATCTCCCACAGCTTTGAACAGGTCATCTGTATTTGGATTCATTGGAATAACGTGCCTACAGTCGGGATCATTTTCCAGGGCTTTGTTTATCCAGTTTACAAAGGCATATTTTTCTTCCTCTAAGATAACCAATTGTAAATTTAATACAGGCTTTTTTATAACATAGCAAAGATTTTCCCAAAAGAGTATGTGTACAATAGCCCAGGGAAATAAAAGCCCCACTATCATTACCATACTACTTTATTAGTCACACAAAATCCAAAGAAGAAATATGACTTTCACTTCCAACTACCAGAATATTCCTGTAATTTACTCATTGCTCAACACTTTATTACATTCAAGTGTGACACAAAGACTTCATTAGCAAGGACAGTTAACAAAACAAATAAACACACATTTAATTTACAGACTGTTAATCTTGCATTACCCTCTAACTCTGTCCTGTTCTCACCTTGATGTGAGATCATTCAGGTACTGGAGAACAAAAACACAGCACGTGACAGTAGAAATCTACAATTTTGGGCATAAAGGCTCCACTCACCCAAGAGAGGAGCTGAAAGGTACCTGAGTAGGAGTGCTGGGTCCCCTCACTGGAGAGCTCCGAGGTCCCCCCGATGGCACAGATTCCTTCTTTTCTGTTAATTGCTTTCCTGAATGTTTTAGCAATGTCGCTGCTTTTCACCTCTTGGAAAATCTACAATTTAAAGTGCTCTGTTAGACAAGAAAAACTTGTCTTCATTAAATGAAAGGACCACATCAGGAGCTATTTCTTCTCAGTTTTAAAGCAAACTCTGTCATAAAATGAGCAAATGTGAAGGGCCCAGGGAGGGTGTAGTGGTATTAAATTTAACATGGATAGTGGGCAGAGAGTCATCCCACTCCCTCAAACACATACTGCAAGTGCTTGTTCAAACAGAAGCATTAGGCATGAAGCACCTCACATCCATTTACCTTTTCAAGTAGATTTCAAGAGAACACGAGGGAAAAAAAGCATGAAACCTTTGCAGTCTGAGAGCAGGTAACCATGCAGCCCTTCCCACAGGACCAAAGATGAGAAAGCTGTTGTGCAATTTCAACCCTTCTGCGTGAGCCAGATGCTCGTGGCTGTTGTTCACACCAAAGACCTTGTGCACAACCCAGGAAACAATTCTCTTTAAGTGTGGAACAGTCAGATCTGCAATAATGTGCTACAAGGAGCCCTCCAGCTAAGGATTCCCCCTTCCTCAACAGCAGGCTTGGGCTAACTGACAAACACCCTCATATTTGGGAGTAGATGAGATGCTTTAGCACAGCAAGATTACATGTGCCACCTGCATAGGTTGTATGTTACTAGTAGTGGCCTTGAAGTTCTCTGGGCAACTATTAGAAAAAAGACACATGAAAAGGCTGAAAAACCTACTGCAGCTCCCTCAAAACTTCAAATCCTTGGAACATGATGAAAACACAATTGAAACATATGCAGGTTCCCTAAACACTACCCAAAAAAAGGCAATAAAACAGCAACATATAGCAGAAAAAAAAAGTCCTTCTGGTAAAAAAAGAAGAGAAGACTTGTCCACCTGGCTGCAGAGGTGTCACCACAGGGCCAGTCATGCCTTACCTTCCCTCTCCCTCAAACACAGGGGAGGTGATAGGACAATATGATGATGTAGAGCAGTTAAACCACCTGGTGCACAGAGGTTTTGCTCACCCCAGTAATCCAGTGGAGCCAAGTGAAGACTCAAAAGCCCAAAAGTTTCAGGTTTTCTGGTTGGCTTGGTTTAAACATAAGGATTTTGATACAGATTTATGATTGTAAAATTTGCTGGACTAGTTACTGTTACCTCCTTTGAAAATATGTGCTTCAATGCTGAGGTACAACTAAGTTACTTGGCCCCAACCTCAAGTCAGTTCATGTCATGCTTTGTACCATTAAGCCCAGCAAAAGTGCTCAGAGTTAGAAAACAGCAACAGGTGTGTTTGTGACTAACCATTGCTTCCACCCACTGTGTAGCTCAGTTGCCTGCAAGACATTTCATGTTTACCCAACTCGTTGGTACCATTCAGATGTGACAGAAAAGATTTACTTCTTCCTTCCTAGTACAAAGTTAAAGAGTTATGGACCAGCTCAAACCAACAGCTGAAACATGCACCCAGCATGCAAGTGTTCACAAACTGCAAACAAACTCCAACTTACGAGTTGACTCCGAACTCAAAAGTTCAGAGGGTCTGAAAACAATTAAGGAACAGAAGGCAAAGATGAATTAAGAAATATCCAGAAAAATAGTTGACATGAAAACAGCTACTTCAAAGTGCTGCACGTACTTTTGTTACTCTTTCAGCATTCAGCTATCAGAGGATGAATAGGATGAAGGGATGGATATTGAACCAGTATCTCAGAAGTGTTGTGTTTTTGTAAAAATAAAGAAAAAAATAAAAATGTTGACCTGTTTCTACAGAAAACAACTGAAGGTTAGACCCATCCTCCAGCTTCTCCTATATCCTCACTTCTGTTCTTCATTTCTAAGGCAACAAACAGATTTGAATTTTCCTCTTTCAGTACTTAGAACTAATCTCCAAGTGTGTCTTGAAATGCCCTCTCAAATCTTTAGCAAATACTTCTAAGTCCCATTGAGTTGAGAAAGGAAATTATAGTGCTTCAATGGGAACACAAGCATCTATCTATGTGCCTGGAAAAAACGAGCAGCTTCCTGTCAATACTGTAAGCTTGGAGAACTGGAAATCTTTTTTTCCAGTTGTCACTTCATGTGGAAATAGTCTTTCAGCCTCCAGTGAAGTTTTTGTATAGGAAAACTGTGTGGATTTTCCCTCTGTCCAAACCTACAGGCTGGCAGTGACAGCTCAGAAGACTGGTCATATGCAGAGATGTGTACAAAGAACTCATTTCTACATGGCAAGTCCTCAAAAGTGATCAGCTTGTAGAAAGAAAACCAGCAGTAGGGTAGGTGGCTGATAAGCCAGGTTCAACCTCTTCTACCCCTTCCTTAGCTTTGTCTAAAAGGGGGTCCCCCAAGGCCAATGAGTATTCAGAAATGCCACTTACATAAACAAACTCTTCAAAACTAATCTTTCCATCTTTGTTCTTGTCACCATCAATCATGAGCTTCTGGATGATCTCTCTCACTTTGTACCCGGGGAGAGGCAGGTTGGCTTCCTTGAAGAGCTCGTGCAACTCGTAGTCACAGATGAACCCGTTGCTGTTGAGGTCTGAGGAAGAAAAGGGACAGAAGAAGTTTTTAGAAACATGCCAGTACCCTGATAGGACCAGCCCTAGAGAGCAGGGCAGAAACACAATCCCCGTGCTCAAAACTTCTTTACAGAGAGCAACCTGTGCACTGGGGATGTCTACAAGACACAGAGGCAAGGAGGACGTCCCACGACAGCATCCCTGTTTGGAGGCCACACTGTGCAGAGCATCTGTGTTCTCATAAATGATCTCCAGAGCATTTGCTTTTATATCTAACTGCAGCTGGCTTTGAGTGATAAAAATAGATGGTAATGAAACACAGCACTTCTTACTCTCTGAACTGAAAACACTAAGTCAGCATTTACATATTTGGATCACGTTGATCCTGATGTTACCCATTTAGCGCTGATGGAAATTTGCAGCCAGAAATTTTAATGCTGCCCAAGAGTGCTCTGCAAGGACATTTTCTTTGACAGTCAACCACCAAGCCACAGCAGCATTGCATGCTTAGTGAGACATCATCACCTGCTAGATTTGGGAAGAAAGAAACTAAGAATCCAGTGTGAACATGGAGCTTTTTTCATCAACAGATCCCAGTCCCTTTGGGGCATCATCACACCTATGGATGACACAGGGCAAGCCCAGGAGCCTCAGGCTAACCATGATTTGCAGCCAGTGTTGTTTAAAGCAAGATATCAAGCCTGTTGCTCAAACTGGTATCCAGTCTTGGGCAGAATTGGGTCCACAAGCAGCCACAAGCAGTCAGAAGCAGTTAGTCCAGATTCACATCCCAAGACATAAGCATGATTCTCCAGCATATCTGGAGAGACAGGGATTCAGAGCATGTTGTGCTGTTCCTGGCTGTTGATGTTGGAATCCCTTTGCTGCAGGCAGGTAGTACAGATAGCTCAGGGAAGTCAAATCAGTGCCTGAGTTGTCATCTTATCCTCCCTATGCCTGGGGCAATGGGGAGCTACCAGTCCTGGATTACTGCTGCTGGTGGGGAACACCTGGATGGGCTGAAGATTTTGGCAGTCTCCTATGATCATCAAGCACAGGCTCTGCAAAGTCAACACAGTGCCTGTGCTGAAGACATCAGCCAAGTCCTCCAAGGCTAAGTGAAAGCAGTCTCTATATTTAAGCACAGTGCTACCTCTTCCCCCAGCTCCAGAGCTCCTGGTGCTATGCTGGGGCACTGCCCACTGCAGCTCACTACCACCAGCTCCCAAGAACCACACAATGCTGCAAAAATAATCACACAGTGCTACCAGGCACCCAGCCCTGCCCAGCCACCCTCCTGCCCATATCCCCTACACAAGAATTTATAAGGCAGCAGTCAGTCTCTCCCTAAGGCCATAGAGTTCAATTCCATTCAAACAGCAGCTTCTGCTGCCCAGTCACCCTCCCAGTCTGCAGGCTGCTGCCAGCTCCCCAGGCTGCCCCATGGAAGAGCTGCACCAGCCCCAGGAATTGGTTTGGATCAAGAGGGAATCCCCCACCACAGCCACTGGGCTCACTCTGCTTGAAGGGAGAGACTTTCCAGAATGAAAGAAAACAATCAGGATAGGTCCAAAGCCTTTTTTCTCTTTTCTTTTACAAATTTTTTTAAAATCAATTTACTTCTAATGAGGTGTCAGTGGTGGTTTTTATTTCACAGCAATGTTCCAGCAAACAGCAAGTCCTCACCACCACTCCAATCTTCCTCATTTTGCAGATCCATATGGGATTTTAAAATAGTTTTTGTAAGCTAGCAAGAAAGTGAAATTCAAATGTTTGGTGGAAAATATCCAGAGTAACACAGAGCAAACCTGTGTTCCCCCTCCTCCACCTCAGTCCCTAGGTCTCAAATTAAAGAGCAATTCCAATGGATTAATAAATACATTAAACTACTTTATGAAACGTCAGTGTTTACAGTGATGCAAATGAAATAAAGTCGTTTGGGCCAATGATTAATGATAGCAACAGGCTGCTGCCTGGCCTTTAATTTTAGATTTTTATTCCAAAAAAATACAAGCTTACAAAGGCAAGCTTTATTAAAAATTCCAGCCTGAGATGTCACCAGCAAACTATTTCCCCTCTAGATAAATCACAGCTTCTTCCATTACAGCTTCCTTAATATTAAATCTAACTCTATAATATGCATCTTTTCTCTCCCTTACAGTCAAATGCTGTCAAATTGAGCAGGTAAAGCCAGAAACACCTGTTCATCCCTTCTTCCAATCAATCCACCACCTCAGAAACAAAGTTTTACATCTACCCAAACATTAGTAGGCAAAGGACAGGGAAAAATAAGGCTTCAAAATACATATGGTATCTTTGGTAGTGTCACAGGTGTGATTTGGATGGTAATTGTTTTCCTCTTGACATGTCTAGCTTAAGCATTCCAAAGTGCTTCTGAACCAGGCTTGTATGTTCCATGTCTGAGCCTATTCAGAAGTGAAAGGGAAAAATCACAATATATGGTATTTCATGAGGCAAAGCCTGCTGGGTTACACAGCAGGGAATCAAGCTCCAGAGTCCTCATCTCTAATACACAAGAGTGAAGCACAGGTAAAAGGATGTTTAAACCTGTTTATAGCTCAGTTCTACATGCAAAGCCCTCCATGTCTTTTAAGGGTACAATCTAGTTCAAGGAATTAATCTCCAGCTTTACATTTATATTGGTTTGCTTGCAGAACAAAAACAGTAGCTTAAAAACACTGATTGAAATGCAGCTGCAAATGTAGCCCAGGCCATGGTCTGGTCCATCCACACTTGCTCAGCAGACCTCAGTCTCAGCCTGAAGGCATCAAACCAGACATCAGGAATTTACTGCCCATTTTCAGGCTTTCATTCACCCCTGCAAAGCAGCATCTTCCCAGTCCTCCAGGTGTGCCTAGTTCAAAGCAGATTTACTTACTTGTGCCCACTGGAAGAAAAATAAATAAAAACTAGCAGTTCTGCAGCACGAAGAACCACCAGCAACACACTCAGGTGTGAGCACAGGTGACTGGGGAGCACCAGGAAAGATGCTGCCCTTCAGGAGGGGCTGCTCAGCCCTGGCTCAGCACCTGCACTGGGCTTGGACAGGGAGCACGTCACCAAACATGAAGGACACATACTGCTGAGTAAAGTACCTTAACGCACTCAAAACCCTTGAGTCTCAGGACCTAAGTTCTTCCAAACTCTTAACAACATCCCAAACACCTGTTTGAAAGTTACTCTTCCATAGTATCCTGGGGAAAAAAATTAACCACTGATTTACTTCATAGATTAAAAGGGAATCTGTAACTCAAACACTTGAGGAGGAAGATTTACAACCAAGGCAGGTCTGGCTGTTGGTTCAATTTCACTACCCCACACCTTGTTACTGGTTTTTCAGTAAAGGTGCTTTCATTTCAAGTTTTAGCTTCTTGGCCACAGAAGTAGATTTAAGTTAAAGCCTGGTGGCTGTGCTAGCCCTTGGTTTTGCTTTGGTAGCAGAGAAGAGCAACATTATCTAGTGATTAACTACGTGGTAAAATATGGAACCATTCCTCTATTAACATTTCAAAACATCCTTAGCCCTGTAAACATGATACATAGGCCTGAGACCCCTGTCCCACAGCGCACCTGCTTCCCTTCTATACTCTGTACAAAGTAACAGAATAAAAAATAACAACAAAAAAAAGAAAGTAGCCGTCTTTGTAGCAGCAGCAAGTTCCATTATTATTTCCAGCCTTACTGCAGGCCCGCCATACGGTGCCTTGCTGGATGCCCTGCAACAGGGCCAGACTTCAGTTAGAAGGTGATCTAAAAACCCTCTCTGACACAATCTAAAATAGCATTCAACAGCTGAAGAGGCAGCTGAAATAGAAGCCATCCCGAATGAGATCCTTCAGCCTCCGGCCCAGAATTCCTCATGGAAGAAAGCAAAATCGTTTTAACAGACAAGCTCTTCATTACAATCTGCCTGACGGAAAGGAAACTACAGCACATCTGAAAGTTTCCTATTTCTCCTGAAAGATGCATGCATGCCAGGCTGCCTGACCTGGGAGAGGTCACTGCAGGGATGTGAGGCACCATCTCCTGCCCATCCGCAGGTGGTGCAGTGAAGCTGCAACAAACACAACCCAAAAGCTGCCTCAAGCTCTGGCTCAGCTTCCTCCAGACAAGTCCTTAAAATAGCTTAAATAACAGGATGCAAGAGGGGAAAGTAACCCACACGTTTCCTTTTAAGGCTATATGCTCAACAGGCCGCACTCTGGCAGGATCACAGATGCCTGTTTGCCTGGAGCTCGCGTTTCGGAGCATTGTTCTACCACCCTGCAGCACTGAACAAAGTGTTCAGCTGGGTTATGATCTTTAAAGTACTTCATGTTACCAGAAAAGATGCTTATCTCTGCTAGCAGAAGCAGGGTGAAGGAACACAAATGAACAGGGCAAGTCTGCATATCTTGTTCTGCCATGCCTCTCCGCAATGCTGCTGCTTGGCCAAGTACATCCATAGTCACACCTGTTCTACAGAACAAATCCAGAGAAAGCTGGGATTTGAAGCAACCTCGTCTTCTCCTGAAGGTCATCCCAAGCCTAGACAGCTCTTATGCCCCACTTAATCACTTTTTTCAGATGTTAAAATGTTATTTTTCCCCACCGTTGTTTATCACTTGGATCCATTCCAATACAAATATCTGGTTGTAGGATGCTGGGAGCTGCTTGTCTGAGCTGTAGCTGACTTTAGTGCTAACCTTAAACCCACTGACTGCTCCTAGTAAGCAGCAGGTAGCTGTGGGGCTCTTGCCTTTTGCTGGCTGTCAGAGAACAGCACATCAGCTGCATGGGAGAGAGGGAACACCTTCTGGTGGCATGGAAGGCAAGTGGAGGAAGAGCACTCAGTAACACACCTCACTGCTTTCTAGCAGCCCCAGATGGCTCAATCAGGTCCAGCTGCATACAGAAAAGCTGGTCAAACACACACCTTTGAAGTCCTATCAGCCTACACATCCAGAGCAGCAACTTGCCCCACGCTGGAGTGACAGCAGTCCCACAGGTGTCAGTGACAGCAGGGCTCCAGGAAGCCCCCTCAGCCCTGCATTGGAGCAGCACACGTCTTGGTGAGCAGAAACCACCTCATGAAGACATTTTCTCCTCACTACATCTCCTTTCTAACTTCCTAGAAGCCAATCAGCTGAGCTTTGCTGTAACTCTGCTTCTCAGCTGTGCTCCAAGTTTTCCAGGTAGCTGGGAGATGAGAGAAAGGCTTAATTTTAAACAGCAGCCTTAGTCCAACTTTTCTTCACATGTACTAGAGATGGCATTACAAGACTAACAGTGAAAGTCAGTCACTCAATTAGCAATGAGTTCTATATCCCAGGGCAAACATGGCTCCTTTAGGCAAGAATAAAAGGAATGACAGCACCAAAGATATACCTGACAGGCATGTCCCACAGCAGTGTTTGCAGATTGTATCACACCTAAAGCACACAAAACAGAGGCAAATGAAAATGACTAGCAGATCCCATCTCCCCTGTGGTTATGTCCAGGCTAATCATCACATTTCTCCATAATAGCTGTTTTGACACTGCTTTTATAACTTAAAACCAAACAGGGATGCACCAGTTTCCTAAAACAAACCAAGATTTGACTTGGGTTTCTCCATGTTTCCAGTGCAAAGGCAGCCAGCCAAACTACTCTCAATAACTTCCCCACACACTAATGACAAAAAGCCACCACATTCCAGCCAAGTTAATAATTTTAAGTTTATCCAAGCACAGAATGGGCTGCCTGCATCCCAGCCTTAATAAGGTTTGCACCCAGAGGCACATTAAGCAGCAAGACACATGATGGTGACTCGTCTCCCTCTACAGCATCTTGGTTCCACTTGCTAGAAAAGTCTCAGGAAAACTAAGGCAGGAGAGGGAACTGCCTAAAATGCAACTTGCTTTGAGTCCCACCAGGGAATACTGCTCCATGAAAATAACTTGTCTTTGAAACTCATATTTGTCTCAGCAGATTGCAAATCTCGAGCAAGCGAGAGTGTTAACAGCCACTCCGCTCTAGAGGGCAGTTTACACCATACCAATGGGAGGCAACTCCCTGTGTGTATTTATACCCAGTGCACAAGCAATGCCAATGTCCAGTTAGGAAAAAACACTGGCTCTGAGCACTTGTGCAACTCATTCCCACTCAGTGCCAGTCCCGGGTGTGGCTCCCCAGCTGCACACACTGATCTCAGCCCACAGTGCTGCAGTCCAGCTCCCATCCTGCCCCTCCCTGGCATTTTGTATGCTCCTCCAGTAGCCATATCAGGAAACTAAATCAGCAAAAGACCCAGTTTTCTCCATGATGTCAGTTTTTCTGCCCATGTCTGCTTCCCAAAGCAGCTTGCCAGAGGCTTCTGCAATGCCAGAGCAGGGGGAAAGCTTAAAGGCAGGTGGAGCAGCCTGGGGTAATGCAACATTTCAAGCTGTTAGGAAGGTGAGAGCCAGAGAGGAAATAGAGCCACCAGAGGGCAATGCACACATCCTGCAGCCACAAAGCATTTTATCATCACCACAAGTTGCTCCAGAATGGCCGGGTAAACAGACACTAATCAGGCTTTGCCTACAAGCACACCAAACACCAAAAGTGTCTCAAATGCACCTGCACAAACCAGAAAAGTAGCACCTACACATCTGCACAGCTCGACCAATCTGCCCAAACCAACACCACCAGAACCAAGCACTGTGCAAGCCCTGAAGTGCTGCCTGGGCCACAGTATGTGCAATACCTGCTTGGGTATTTCTTCTACCATCAGGAAACAACAAAGCCCATCCTGGAGCAACAGGGCAAGGTTGTCTGCCCAGTGTTCACAGACAGCCAGACCGCTTGTGTCCCTTCCTTTGTGCTCCTTGGCTAAAAGTGACACTCCAGAAGCAACAAGGCTGCCAAGGGACTCCTTGCCACGAAGATCACAAGATTCTGCTGGCACTGCTGCTTACAGGGGTGGAATGAAGCCATTTCAAGTGTACAGCAGACAGGAGCAAGGTGCCCTCCTCACTGTAACTCACCAACTTTGGCAAAGGCCTCCTTGAGTTCCTCCAGCTCATCTTTGGAGATTTGCATGGTGTTGGCCATCTCATGAATTACCTAAAGAGAGAAAAAGGACAGTGTGTGAAAACAGACAACTTTCAAATGCATGCAGTTTTCAACAGCGATACAGAAACAATCACCACCAAGGGCACTACAATTCTTGAAGCCACATTTATCTTTCCACTAAGAAAACAGATGTGTGAAACTCCAAGTGGGTAATACCCTCCTTAACAAGTAAAAAGATCCCATTAGCCTTGTTAATATTTAGCTCTGCATATTTATTTAATGGGCTATGCTGTTCTGCACACATTAAGGTACCTGCTGCTACCAGTGTGTTCTGTAGGTCAGAAAAGCTTTCATCTCCAGGGATTTTCAACTACTTTGACCAAGATCAGAATCCAGAGGTAAAATATTAATGCAAGAGATACTGAATGCTGTCTGCCCATCCCTTGAGAGCACACAGCCTCCAAACCCAAATAATAAAGAATCTCAACAGTACCTAGTAAAGGTCTTTTTGCACAAAGAAGTATACCTGATACTGTTTGCAAAAGGGAAATAGTCTGATTATCTGCAAGAAAACTATTTGAATACACACCTGCTTATTTCCACAGTCAGCCTCACAATAAACCATGCAAGCAACAGGCTGTTTGTACTGCCACTGATCCCCTCCACCCTCCTGAGCAAGGCACAGCAGGAACACTGCAAGCCAGTGTGGAACAGCAGGCATCAGCTACACTCAGACCCTGAGCATGCAGAAACTCTGCTTTGATCAAATCTGCCTGGTGTTTAAGAAACCGAGAGGATGAAACACACTGTTCCTACACCCATCTGCTCTAATACTCTTTTCCAAGCACTGATTAGGTGCTGCTCAACCAGCCTGGACAAGAGGTATCACTGTATGGATGGGAAAAGGCCAGTGACGTGCCCACAGCCCTTTCCCGTGACATTAGTGACAGCAGCAGCAGATGCTCTGTTGGCACTTCTGCCAATATGACCAAGAGAGATCAGTGACTGCTGGAACAATGCAAAAAGGGCAACCCCTGTGCATGAAGCTCTTGGAGTGAGTCCAGAGAAGGGCCACGAAGATGATGCAAGGCTGGGGCACCTCTCCTATGAAGACAGGCTGAGAGAGTTGAGGCTGTTCAGCCTCAAGAAGGGAAGGATCCAGGAAGACCCTACAGTGGCCTTCCACTGCCTGAAAGGCCTACAGGAAAGCTGAGGAGGGGCTTTTTACAAGGGCTTGTAGTGAGAGGACAAGGGTAATGGACAAGGGAGATTTAGGTTAGACATCAGGAATAAATTCTTCATTGTGAAGGTGGTGAGACTCTGGTACAGGTTGCCCAGGGAGGTTGTGGATGCCCCATTCCTGGAAGTGTTCAAGGGTAGGTTGGATGGGGCTCTGAGCAACATGGTCTAGTGGGAGATGTCCCTGCCCATGCAGAGGGTGTGGAACTAGATGATCTTTAAGGTCCCTTCCAGCCCAAACCATTCTGTTATTCCATAGGCACTGATAAGCACATTCTAGCACACATGCTGGCTCTAGTTGGAGGTCTTTAAAAAAGGGAATCTGGGCAGGCTCAGTGCAACTTTAAATGAGATTTGCATCCCAAGGTTTTCCAGGTCCAACGTTTTTAGCTACAATCACTGCAAGTTGAGAAATAAAAGGTTCCTCCACTGCATATGGGAACAGACAGAGCTGCCTCTGTAAGGAAAGGGATGAGAGGTGAATTCAGGTTTACAGACTGTCAGAAGGCAGGATCCTGCATGGGCTGGCTCACTGCTCAAGAGACAGACAAGAGGCTCAGGTTCACAAATGCCTGTGCTCTGATTAGCAAAACTCTTTTGTCTGAGGCTCCCAACTGCCTTCACAAGCACTTGTTAGCTTCAGAATTCAAGTTTGCCTGTAGCTGTAAAGATTCTTTTTCTGTAACACTTCACTCAGTCTGGAAAGAACGAAGTCATTAGAGATGAGAGGATGGGCAAGTGTGGCAGCCTGGGAAAGCAGCTCAGCCAGGTGCTAGCAGCAGAGAAAGTCAACAAGAAGTTGCCTCACTGCAGAAACATGAAGGAAAGCACATCAGACCCCATCTCCCAGCACCTGCAGAGCTGCCAGTGGACAAGACAGTATATTGAACTGTCAGTAAAAGACACCAACAGCAAGACAGCTAACTTAATTATTGGGCTTGTGGTGCAAGAGTGGGGCAGGGGGAGGAACTTCAGTGAAGATGCATCAGACTGCCAGGAAAAAAAAAAAGTAAAAAGCACCATAGTAATATTTTTATACTGCCTCACAGATTACAAGTTAGGCTAGCTGACCAAGAACATGCTAACATGCAGGTCCTTGCAAGATGAAGGAATGCTGTGTGCAGTGCTGCCAGTCTTGCTGGATGCCCAGTCTGGGACCTACCCTGTTCCTGAAGCAGCCCCTGCCCTGCAGCCCTCCCACAGCTGCCCCAGCCTTAGCACCACCAAAACCTGCCTGTTATTTCCAGGGGATAAAGTAGTTGCTCAGCAAGAAAGTCAGCTCTGAGCATGCTACAGGAGGTGGATTTCACAACTGGCAGAAACACTTGAGAACACTATGGGGAACTGGTTTTGGCTCTGCAGAATGTGGCATGAGCTGCCAGGCATGCCACAAATTCCGCCTTCTTCCTAATCCTCATTTGCACCGATTCATTTACAAATGGTGAAGATTTCCCTTAAAAAGGGATTTCCAAAAGCATCATTACCTGACCACTTCACTGGAATTTAATTTGCTGCTGACTATCTCCAGCATCTTTACCACCAAAACAAGCAGGGAACACCAAGGTAAGCCAAGAGCTTTTAAAAAATCTACTCAAGTGTTTGACTTTATCAGGGAAATATGCTCTGGACATGCCCTGCAGTTGTTTGTGTGGGTCTTCACTTAAAAATCATTTCCCTTCCAGCCCCTATGCTGTTCAGCTCAGTCAGTAAGTCTACAAAACAGGTTCAGCTACAGTTGTCATATTGCTTCTTCCTTTTTTGTTTCTCTGCTTGAGAGAAGAGAGGGAGAATTTGAACCAACAGGTGAAAAGCAGACACCTGACCTTGCTGTAGCTGTCTGGAAAAGGGAACCTAGTATGATATAACAAAACAGTATATGAAAAGGTTAGTGGGTTGCAAAGTTACAAGGTGACAGGGGCTGCTGGGCAATTTTTACTGCCTTTCTGCAGCACCAACACTGGCACACTGGGCTGGGGGGCAGGGGAAGCTTTTCAGTTTTTTGTTGTGTGGGACTTTTTTATTTGTTTGTTTTTAATAGCTGAGTCGAGGGCATTCAGAATGGTGCTTTTCATTCAGTTGCTTTTTTAAACAAGAGGCTTTGTCTTCCCGGACATAAAAAGCCCTTTTATCACCCTGGCAGAGGGATCACACATCAGCTGCCTGACACGAAGCCCTGTGGGGACACAGCACCATCCTGCTCACGCCTCACCACCTCACGTTCACTTCTACCTCCAGCAAAGTCCCTGCCAGGGCACGCAATGACAGCCAGAGACAAACTGCCATTTAATGACCCATTTTAGACGAAGAAAAAACGAGGGGGAAAGAGGAGATAGTGATCCCACACACCCATTCATGCCCTGGTGATAGATGGTCCATCAGTGAGTGCACACATGAACCGTGTATAAGGAGGCAATTCCTACTCCAGATTCCTTTTATTCCTGCCTTCATCCCTCACTCCATGGAAAAAAAAAAGCAAAGGCAGCTCTATAACACACAGATGCTCAAAAGCAGCTTCACAGAAGAGTGGCTGGCAGCCAGTGCAGCCCGTTTCTGCTCTCTGAAGACTTTACTTGCTGCCGCAGATCAGAGCTGCTTTAAGTACATCTCAGCTTTTCAGACACCAACTCCCCTCCCAGAGAGGGGATGTATAAAGTTTCTATGCAAACAAGTTTTATACCTTCTAAACACGCTGCAGTCACTGAATCGGGGTTGGTTTATTTGCTGTCCAGACAGAACTGCAGTAGAGGCAGGTCAAACCAAGCTGCCCCAGACCCGTGTGTTTTCACAGCTGTGAGCCACCTGGAGACAGGCCATTCCAGAGGGGACATCCCAGGGATGCCTGTGCTGCAGCACTCACAACTTCCAGCACAACTGCCAGAAGCTAACCAGGACATTTTGGATGGATTAGCTGCTCAGACAAGTAACTTAAAAACACTCAAGACCAGAGGAAGTCACAAAGTCTCTTCCCCAAGAGCAGAAGCCCTGGGAGCTGCATCCTGCAGAGAGGATGGGTGGAAAAAGGGGCAGAAAGGAAGGGGAAAGGAGCATTCAGGCATTCTAACATCTCCTTGAAAGATGGAGGATTAATTCAATTTTGAAAGCACACGGCAAACCAAATATTTCCCAACAGCCACTTGAACACTTCCAACAGAAACAGAGCTGGAATTTGTTGCTGATCCAAATGAAAGAATTTGCTTTCTTAGCAGCTCCCTGTTAGTTTGAAAACTGAGCTGCTCTGTCCCTCCCAGACCCACCCTGTTTTAATATCTCTACAACTGACTGATTAACAGCATTGATTTGTTTACTCAAACAGGCAAATTCAGAGACACATTAAAAGTGTCAACAAAAAGGTATTAATGTGTCCTGTTTCCATCCAATTTAAAAAAGACCAAGATAGGCCTAGTCTGGAGCAGTGACTCACCCTTGTACGTGGTCTCCTCTTCAGAGGAACCTGTGGTTTTGCTGCTTTTTCATGACAAAGGCTCCAGACATGAGAAGGCAAGTCAGTCAGCATTAGCTAATTAAAAATACTTCAAACCCCACATCTCTGACCACTAACCCAGGACGGATCAGTTTTGGTTTAGGAATAAGGAGCTGGACAACCAGGCACTCAGGTACCCCGCAAGCCATGGCAAGTGCCAGAGCCCCAGGGCTTGCAGCCACCTCACTAATTTGGAGCTAATTTGGAGGGAATCCTGGTGATTATGCTGACGTAGGATCCAGTCCCCAGATTTCCTGTGGCTCACCCCATCCTCCTCTTGCTCCCTGTTCTGCAGAGCTTGGCCCTGCCAAGCACCACACCAG